CCCTCTGCAGACTTGGGATGCTATGGGCTGTGTCCCGCTCAGCTGCTGGCAACATCACTAGTTGCCAGGAGCTGGGTCAAACACCAGCCCCGGAGCGTCCCAGGTTGCTAAGAGCTGGGCGAGGAGATGTGTATGGCTTTTACACATCTCCCCACCCGGCTCTTGGCAGCCTGGGACGCTCTGGCCGGAAAAGGGGACGACATTGTGCAGCAGAGCGCCCACTATACAACAAATATGCCACCCTGCCTATCCGCCCCACACGTGACCCAAAGAGTTGCCGCCTGAGGCACATGCCTCATGCGGCTTCATTAAAGGGATGGCCCTGACGAATGTACTCTCAGTATGGATTCATACACGCAGATGTTATTGTTTTACACTCCGCTCTACAGCTGTGCGAGTGCAATGAGTTCTCAATCTCTATTAGAAATATGGCAGCTGCCTTTGTTTTTTAAGAAGTGCATGTTCCAGGGCTGTCATCCTGATCCTGACTTCACATACTTTTAGTGACTACCGTGTTTCCCCCAAAATAAGACACTGTCTTATTATTTTTTTTGCCCCCATAAAACCCTACTAGGTCTTATTTTCAGGGGATCTTTTTTTTTTTTTTTTAATGTGCAACAAAATGTACAACAATCCAAAGTTATCTGGTATCACTCTGCCTGTCACAGTAACTGGCGCTATAGAGGAAGTATCTGCTAATGCGGCTCTGCTCCCTCCGCCCCCGCAGCATGCTTTCTACAGCGCCCTCTTCCTTTGCCATCAGGGACAGTGGTACCAGCGGTGCAACAGTGCGGACATCAGACAGTGGACAGTGCTGTAAAGTACGGTACCATTACATTAAGCAGTGCCTTCAGGGGGACAGCAGTTGGTGAAGTATGGTACCTTAGGGCTCCCTGTCACTGCGCTGGCCGGAGGGAGTCCCCTGTCATCCCCTTAATACAGTATGTCCTTGCAGGCTGATACCATCTCTCCTGCTCTTCCATTTCTCCCTCACATGCTACCACCAAACTAGGTCTTACTTTCGGGGTAGGTCTTATTTTCAGGGAAACAGGGTATATATTGTACATCACATTGACAATACAGCTGCAAAATGCGGCGTTTCACATATGCTGTGCAGGGGTGCGCACGGGCAAAATTTGAGGGGCACATTTCTTTTTTAATGAAGTGACAGGAAATGGTTCTGGGTTAGACTGTGAATGGAATTTATCAACACTGGAGCGGATAAAATCCGGAGCAGCTGTGCACGGCAACCAATCAGCTTCTCTCTTTCATTTTCAAATCTTAACTGAACAAAATGAAGAGAGAAGCTGATTGGTTGCCATGCGCAGCTGCTGCAGATTTTGTCTGCTCCAGTGTTGATAAATTTCCCCTCAGTATTTCTTAGGACTGGATGACTGACGTAATATCACAGCCACAGCCAATGGGCTTTACTGAGGCTGGGTTCACACCTAGGCGTTTTTCTGCGCTTTCGTACTCACGGAAAAACGCTCAAACAGGGAAATGCCATTATTTTCAATGTGCATGGTTCCCATCTGGGCGGTTTTCCGCGAGTACGAACGTGCGGGAAACCGCCCTACGCCCACAGAAGTACATGTACTTCTTTGGGGCGTTTTGGTCGGGCGTTTCCATTGGGATACATCCAAGTATCCCTCGGAAACGCGTGTTTTTTTTAACCGGGAATCACGCTAAAAAAATGCGTGAAATGTGCATATTCAATCCGCCTAGGTGTGAACCTAGCCTAATGGTGGTGCCAAGTTATTTGCCACCTGTCCAGTAACAGTAACTGATGTGCTGCCAACAGCCCCTTGCTGCACCCAATCATTAAACCACTGCATGCCCTCCAGCAACTCAATTTGTAAGTCCTATTGGAACACACAGCCCCTGAGTAGCCATGCACCCTGGTTATGTGAGGCCAATGCGTGCCGCTGCTTCCCCCTCACCACCAGACCATAGCGAGGGGAAAACTGAGGATGGAGCAGTCTTGTGACTGCAACTTTATATGCAAATAAAATGTATTTGTTGATAACTGAAAAAAAAACAAAAGTAAGGTGAGGTAGAGCTCGGGAGTTGTGGACAACAAGATGAATGTGCTGCGGTGTGCACACGTTTACCCGGAGCACCCATTATATTGTTATGTGTATATATAATTCAGAAGCGGCTCAATGCTCATATCTCTTCAGTGAACAGATTTACACAGAGCACATGAAAATGAATTATTTACAGGGCCTGGGACCAGCATCAGACAAGCAACGGCAAAGAAAATCGAGGGGCCGAGTCCAGCGGTCAGGTAAGAACTTTTCCTGTTACCCACAATGCTTTGCAAGGCTCATATGAGCATTAATGTAGCACTTCGGCTTCTTCCGGGAACTCTTTTAATAGTTCCGTTCCTGGATGGATCTTTTGGAAGTGACAGATGCAACTTTTGCAAACTTAACAACGTTATGGCCCCGGATGCCAGGACACTGTTAACCCTGTCCATGGTCCTCATTTGGCCCACCAACTTTCCAGGTGGGTGTGCCCAAATCATGCCCATTTTATAGGCTCGTCCCAATCAGACCCTGCCTTAAAATATGTGGGGACCCTCCAACAAACCCACTTTATAGGCTGGTCCCACTCAGATCCTGCCTCAAAATATGTGGGGACCGTCTAACACACCCGCTTTACAAGCTGGTCCAACACAGACCCTGCCTCTAAATATTTAATCACCCATCACCCTCTTTATGGGTTGGCCCTACCCAGGCCCCACCTCAGGGACTGCCCACTCTCAGCCCAATTCCCCGCAGTTAGTATCTTTGAGTTACCGTGAATGTACAGTAACTCCAATGAGGTTGATGCTGTGATCCCAGAACATGGCACAGGACACCGCATTGGTGAGGTGCGGGACTGTCCTGGCAAATAATGGGACAGTTGGTATCTAGGTGATTTTATCTTATCAATGTTGGTGGACTTTGTGTTTAGACCCGTCACCCAATCTGGCAGGCCGTTGACAGGCTTTGTGCGGCCCAGTACACAGTCCGGTCGTCCTGGCACTATGGAACAAGCGATCAGGACCCCCCGAACGGCAAATACTGCTCGACCGATCACCAGTGCTTCTGGAAGACACGTCCGCCTTGGAACGGTAAGAAACCTTTTTGCTTAGAGTTAATGTTAGAATATTGCTAATCATTCAGATATGTTATCATAAATATTACAAATTGTGAAGAATAATAATACCTCTATCTAAATCCTAATGCTCCTCTCATGCTCACCATGCTGCCTATATCCCCAACTTCAGATTTCTGATCAGCAGGCAACATGGCCCTGTAGTTGAGGCTTAGGCCAGTCCAGATGGCGCTCCTGTACTCCTAGTCACCAGGCTGTGCAATACTGAGAACATGCAGCCTTCTTCCCATAGGCCGGAATAGTGAAGTCATCTCCCTCCTGAGGCCCCTTTTGTCAAACCTACGAATATTTACATTAAAGGAGAACTATGGGGTCAGTGTTTTTCCCCATAGTTCTCTTTAGGGTCACGGGAGGACATAAACTAGCATTCTCCCGTGACCCAAAGCTCAGTATACCGTGAGCTACAGCTCACGGTATACTGAGACCGCCGCAGCCGGGACGGATCCCGACAATACTGTCTGGATCCACTCAGCTGCGTGAGTGACAGCTGGATCTGCCTATCTAGAGGCAGAGCCAGCTGTACCCACCCCCTCCCCCGTCCATTCCGCCAGTCAGCACTGGAGGATTGGAGCGGGGAGGGGGCGAATCCCTGCGGGGAGCTGTGACTGACGGTCATGGCTCTCTGCAGGGAGACGATCGAGTAGTGAGCGAGCGACAGTATGTGTTCCCTCAATTCCCAATCTATTGAGCCGACGTGTGACAGTTTTTAATTGTCCCACGTCGGCTTGATTTTCACTCTCCTCAGTTCTCCTTTCAGATAAAATGTAAATAAGATGAAGGGAATCAAAAATATAATTAAAACATGCAATTCCTTATTTCCTCTCAGTGTTCTGGAGACACTGAGATTGTCCAATGCCTTTATGTTGTCATCATTCTGTGTTTTCTTTCTTTATTAGGCCTCAATGCTGACCAATCCGGATGGACCATTTATTAACCTGTCCAGATTAAACTTGTCTAAATATGCGCAGAATCCCGGCTTGGCAAAGGTTAGTCTACACTAAAGCTATTATAAAATATATCATTATTATAAATTGTTCTTTCTGCAGTCAGTCGTCTTAAGGCCGGCGTATAACTGAGATCCCAAGAGGAGGTAGTACAGCAGCTGGAGAGCCGCACATGACCCAAAGCTGGCGCTTATTATTATTATTCAGGATTTATATATATTTCCAATTATTGTAATCATTGTAATTGTAGACATTGTAATGTCTTCCCTTTTACAATATAGGGAAGACATTACATTGACAATACAATTCCACAGACAGGATGGTTACGAGGGCCCTGCCCATGAGAGCTCTTACAATCTAAATGACTTAAAAGTGTTTTGTTTTTTTCTTTTTTGCAGACGCTGTTTGACTACATCTTCCACCATGAAAATGATGTGAAAAATGTAAGGATTCTATTCTCAATAAATAACTTTCTTTTGAATATATCTCAATGTTAAATGATTGTTTGTTTTTTGGTTGAATTAGGCAGAATCAGACTTGCGTAAAATAGCTACTGGTATATAAGACACGATTTATAAATAAAGAACTGATACATGAATCGCAATCAATACATTATTGCTACCAACAGTAGTTTTTATGTATCAATTGTTTTTTAGGTAAGTCTAATGAAAAACTACACATTTTATAGATTTAAAGGAAAACTATGAGGTGTGATTTCCACTCATCCTCATAGTTTCATTTTCACAGGTCGGCTCGAACTATCACAGGTCGGCTCTATAGATTGGGAAGTGAGTGAATGCATACCGTCGCTCGCTCACTTCTCGATCATCTCCCTGCAGAGAGCAGTGACTGTCACTCACCACTCTCCGCAGGGGTTCAACCCATCCCCCCCCCGCTCTGACCCTCCCAAGCTGACTGCAGTGACGGGGGAGGAGGCGGGCACAGCTGGATCTGCTTCTAGATAAGCAAAGCCAGCTGTCAATCAGCCAGCTGGGTGGATCTTGACAGTATTGTTGGTATCCATCCCCAGCCGCGGCACTCTTAGTATATAGCGGGCAATAGCTCGCTGTATACTGAGGTTTGGGTCACAGGAGGAGGTTAGTATATGCCCTCCTGTGACCCTAAAGAGAACTATGGGATAAAAAGGTTACCCCCATGATTCTCTTTTAAATACTACATTATTATGTGTTCTTAGCCCTGATGAAGGGGGTGTTTGTGTCCCCCTGAAATGCGATTGCTTCTTCATTGGATCTTCTATCTGGAATAAAATTGTATATGGACCATCAAACTGTGTGGCGCTTCTATCTGAGATGTATTGACTTACATGTACTGATCAGTTTGAAGAATTTATTCCTTTTTATATTTCGATTAACATCCGGCATTTATTCTTTTATTGACAAAGTATGGGAACTCTTTATAGACCTAACAACATGCATATTATGTCTAATGTTTACCTTTTGTATATCTTTTATAATACCTAAAACAGCCGTGCCTTGTAATTATAGTTCTACAGTAAAGAATTAATCTCTTTCTGTCTCCTAGGCTCTGGAGTTGGCTGCTCAGGCCACTGAACACGCTCAGTACAAGGACTGGTGGTGGAAGGTTCAGCTGGGAAAGTGTTATTACAGGTAAGATCTCTGAGTATTGAAGTGTCTGAGGTGAGAATTGTACTCGTCTCATTTACGATTCAATGAGGATTTTTATTCGGATTCAGAATAATATTTGGGGTGTTTTGGACAAAATTTTCATATGATGTTCTCTGACCAATTCCTGCCAAAGGCATACAGAGGTCACAGAGTGGGGACACATGTCATAGCAAGAAATTCCTCATTGATGGGGGTGTCAATGTCCCCTCCACAGTTGCAAATAATAATAATTAGGACTGGTAATGATTAAACTTTTCCTGTTCGATTAACCCAAATTTTTTTTAATCGATTAATTTCGATTAATTATAACGCACATACAGATCCAACTACATTGGCCTATACACACACAGCACAGCAATGAAGTAATAAAATGAACTAGGATCACACTAATCCAGCACGTTATTAATCTCACGTGCCCCACTCAATATGGCCGCCGCTTGAGTGGGGCAACTCAGAATAATAACGTGCTGGATTAGTGTGATCCTAGTTCATTTTATCACTTCATTGCTGTGCTGTATGTGTATAGGCCGATGCCTTGGCTGGCGCTTGTGCAGAAAGTTTCTTTGGGCAAACTCACCGGCCCAAGTGGCTCCGTCGGCTAACGAAGGGGGGAGGAGTCTGGTGACGTCACGGACATCGACGTCACCGGACTCCTTCCCTTCGTTAGCCATCACGGGCATCGACGTCATCAGACTCCTCCCCCCCCTTCCCTTCGTTAGCCGACGGAGGCACTTGGGGAAGGGGGAAGGGGTCCGGTGACGTCGATGTCCGTGACGTCACCTGATCGCCGACGGGACTCCCCGAAGCCGGCAGAGAGGTGAGTGTTTTCATTAGCGATCAAAATAATTTTAATCGATCAAAAAGTTTAACGATTAATCGAGAAATTAATCTTTAATTTCCACTGCCCTAATACATTTTAAATAGCTCTGACATATTCCCCAGTGTTGTACTGAGAACACTAAGCAAGTCACATCAGTCTCTACACCAGATGAGTTTTACTCTAATGCCCCCAAGGCAGCTATGCATTATTATATATTGATATAGCACTGACATATTCCACAGTGCTGTACTCAGAACACTGAACCATTCACATCAGTCTCTGCACCAGAGTAGCTTACACTCTAATGTCCCCCCACAGTCACACACTATTATTATACATGTATATAGCTCTGACATATACCGCAGTGATGTACTCAGAACACTGAGCCAGTCACATCAGTCTCTGCACCGGAGGGGCTTACAATCTAATGTCCCCTCCACAGTAACACACCGTTATTACCCACTCCATGCAGAATGTGTCCTAGTTGGGTCTGAATGCAGGACCCCAGCGCTGTAGTGTCACAGTGCTAAGGAGATCGGTATTACACTCTGCAATTCTCACACAGGCTGGGGCTGTTCCGTGAAGCAGAGAATCAATTTAAATCGGCTCTCATACATCAGGATATGGTGGACACACTTCTGTACCTGGGAAAGGTAAGTGTTTGCATATCACCAGCTTATTATAGAACTTGACACATCAGATTCATCAACCAATGAGGTCAGGATCAGATTGATATGAGGACTGGGGGGGCTTGGCCTTCATGCTGTTGATGGCAAAAAATCTATGTGGTGCATCCTGCTTGTAATGGAGTACTTGCATGTGTTTTTATATTTCTCTTTTTAGTTTAATGTATGCATATCTGTACCACAAGTTGGCTTATTAGCCATTAGGTAGGAAATTAACTTGCAGATTTGAGGATTCCAGTACACTTCTCAGGGGGCAGCCGGAGAAAACAAAAACTGAATATTTGCATGACTTGGAGACACTGTCAACTTCTCCATGCAGAGCAAAGCGACCGTGTCCCTATAAGCAGCATCCCCTGACCTCCAGATACTTCCCTTACAGCGCTCCCTCTCAGCTCGTTGCTCCTCCACAGCCAGCACTACTGAAATCTGCGGTGTAACAGTGCGCAGGCCTCGCAATTGGCTTGGTTTTTCGGTTGGCTACATTACCTCGCAGGGTCCTTCCTTCCATGAGCGCTTCTGGGAGAAGACTACAAGCAGGCAGGAGGACCCTGCCTGTGCCAACATGCACAGGAAACCTCAGAGGGTTAGACACAGTAGACATGTCTCTGCTTCAGTGATTGAAAGCGGCTCGCATGGGGCAAGCAAGTGCGATGGTGCTGGTGAATTATGGGACATGTAATCACAAGGATGGGATCAAGTGACTTTGGATGACAGTACGAGTGTGCACTCCCTGACTAGAAGTTCAGGGAAGTGATGCAGAGGTAGCCAGAGGCTAAATAAAAAGGCTTTAGTACTACTTAAACTATTTTGTCAAACTCACTGAGGGGAATTTATCAAAACTGGAGCAGACGAAATCTGGCGCAGCTGTGCACGGCAACCAATCAGCTTCTCTCGTTCATTTTCAAACCTTAAAGGAGAACTATGAGGGGGGGGGTGCTTTTCACTCACCTCATAGTTCTAGCCGACCTGTGACAATGAGACTGTCACAGGTCGGCTCAGTAGATCGGGAAGTGAGCGAACACATACCAGCGTTCGCTCACCTCTCCATCCTGTCACGGCTCTCTGCCGTGACAGGGGAGGGGCTGGATTTCCCCCTCCCCGCTCCGATCCGCCAGCGCTGACTGGCGGAACGGACGGAAGAGGGGGCGGGTACAGCTGGCTCTGCCTCTAGATAGGCAGAACCAGCTGTCACTCACGCAGCTGGGCGGATCTCGACATTCAGGTCGGGATAAGCTCCGGCTGCGGCGTCTCAGTATACCGCGAGCTGTAGCTCGCGGTATACTGAGCTTAGGGTGACGGGATTACGCTAGTTTGTGTGCTCCTGTTACCCTAAGGAGAACTATGGGGAAAAGCAGTGACCCCATAGTTCTCCTTTTTAACTGAACAAACTGAAGAGAGATGCTGATTGGTTGCCATGCACAGCTGCTCCAGATTTTGTCTGCTCCAGTTTTGATGAATTCCCCCCACTGTATCTATTTCAAGCCTGGAAGTTAGTTTAAAACTTCCGTTATCTTTTAAATGGTGAGGTGCACAATTGAGCCCCTTTTAAACCCGTGCTTTCTTGTTTCAGGTGTACATACGGATGGACCAACCTCTGACAGCTCTGTCCCTTTTTAAACAAGGGTTAGACCGCTTTCCAAAGGAGGTGACCCTCTTGTGTGCTGTGGCACGAATCCACGAGGTGGGGGTCACATTACTCTTTATTCTGTATCTGTATTTTATACTTCCTAGGGAGTTCTAGGTCTGCTCCCAGAGTATACCTCAGTACTATGCTGAGTTTAGAAGAGGATTATAGCAGTTATGAATTAAAGCCCCATCAGATCTCTTACATTTCTTCGTAGCTCTGTATGTTATCATTGCATAGTTACATAGTTAGTCAGGTTGATAAAAGACACATGTCTCTCAAGTTCAACCATTTGTACATTATTTTGAGTTTCATACCTAAAGATTAAAGCGTGGTATGTAAAGGTTACATACATAATAACTAAATGGTCAGCTTTTATTTTTCTTCATATTCATTCTTTTTTTTTTTTAAACAAAATTTTATTCTGTTTTCACGGTTATACCCCCAAGGGGCATACCCGTCCCATGTTACATGACATATAATCCACACAGTTTGAGATCACGTAAAGCAACCTTCTCAATTGTACCAGAAATAACAATTGTAACCATTCTAACCTTTTAACATTTCAACATTCCCAAGCTGGTTGCCACCTTGACTGTATTCATTATATGCTATACACTATAAAAGGCGATTACTTCTAGGGATATTACTGTCTATTCCTAATCATAAGCTACTGCACCAATTGCTTAGAGCTGTGTCTGTGACAGCCAGCACCCCCCACATGCCATAGCGACCCAGGCCGGGCCCCATCGCGGCCGCCTGGGTCGCTATGGCGATTGTTACGCCACTGAGTCCGAGTACTTAAAGGGTTGCATGATTGACTCCAATTCTGCGCCCTCATATGTTGCTGCCAGGAATTGTTTCCATCGTTTGAAGAATTTTGCATCGAGTGCATCTACGTTCATTTTAGTTTCCAGTTCCCTTAGAAACAAGATTTTCAGCTCCGCAATGACACTGGAGATTGGCGGTGTGGAAGATGTGTTCCATGCTCTCATTATGCATCTTCCAGCAGCCAATAGACAAATGTGTAGCCAGTCTCTACCCCTGAGGGTGGTGCATTGAGGTTCCACCACTGAGTATTTGGGAACGCTGAATAGGTACAGTAGTGGGTTCAGTTGCGGGGTCCACTTTAGGACTTTTGTGATATATGTGGTAACCCCAGCCCAGAAGGGCACTTCCAGAAACAATGGGGCAGCGAGGGGCGGGAGAGTCCACACTTTGGACATAGTGATAGTAGTTGCTGCGCCGTCGCTCCAGCCGGGCGCAAGTATGCCACGTAGGCCCGAAGCATTATTTTCATATTCATTCTTAATATGATGCTGAGAGTCCATGGCCCCTCATCCTCAGAGTAATGACATTGCCCTAGTTTACACTAAAGAGGTGGGTTGGCGTTGTCACAGCTGGCGGGCCTTCCCTCCCCTCCCTGCCAATCAGAGCAGGACATAACATTCCCAAATGTCCCCGTGTTCCTTCCTCCAAACACAGGACACCCTCTTGGATCCCTCCTCCCCTGTGCAGCGGAGTAAAGACCTTCGTTGGAAGGGAGACCAGATATCGTCTTTAAGATTTCCTTTTATCTTAGTGTAAATGCGCTTCTTCCTGTCACACTGCAGTGCTCTATGCTGACACAGCTGAGTGATAGGTACGCCCCTCATCACAAGTGTCCACACACAGACTTGTAGTGCTGAGGAAGAGACGGGTCATGTCTGTCCATGTCTGTTTGTTTGTAAAGGGGAAATATTTGTGTTGGTGGTAGTTTGCTATATATACATACATTGGCAGAAAGATAGCAATACGTTTTTCATTCTTACCGTCTAGGAAATGAATAACCTGAGCTCATCCTCCGAATACTACAAGGAGGTCCTCAAACAGGACAACACTCATGTGGAAGCCATTGCATGTATTGGAAGCAGCCATTTCTACACAGACCAGCCGGAAATTGCCCTGCGATATTACAGGTCAGCCAATGTATGGGTGCTCAGAAGTGTACTTGTCTGTCTGAGATCTAAGGCATATTCATACCCTTTATAACCATATTGGCATAGCGGCTTGTAATAAGAAGTCATTGACTGTCTCCTGTTGTCCCACAGGCGCCTCCTTCAGATGGGAGTTTACAACTGTCAGCTGTTTAACAACCTGGGCCTGTGCTGCTTCTACGCTCAGCAGTACGACATGATCCTGACGTCATTTGAGAGAGCTCTGTCCCTGACTGAGAATGATGAGGAGGTGGCAGATGTTTGGTACAACTTGGGCCATGTTGCTGTGGTGGGTACCCAGATTTTTTTGTCGAATTATTTTTTATTTTTATTTATTACTCTCACTGCTCTAGCGAACACAGACGACCCTAAAAGGTGTCAATGCTGCAATCTGCTGACTTCGCTGCAGCAGTGAGGAAAGAGCCTTGAAGGTGCACAGATCAGAACTAAATTTTTGACATTTCCATCAAAACAATCAACACTGCATTACTTAGAGGAGAACTATGGGGTCAGGGCTTTTCCCCATAGTTCTCCTAAGGGTAATGGGAGGACACAAACTAGCATCCTCCCGTGATCCAAAGCTCCGGCTATAGGGAGCTACAGCTCGCGGTATACTGAGACCTTCGCAGCCGGGACGGATCCCGACATTACTGTGGAGATCCACCCAGCTGCGTGATTGACAGCTGGCTCTGCCTATCTAGAGGCAGAGCCAGCTGTACCCGCCCCCTCCCCCATTCGTTCCTCCAGTCAGCGCTGGAAGATCGGAGAGGGGAGGGAATCCCTGCATGGAGCTGTGAGTGACAGTCACGGCTCTCTGCAGGGACAGGATCGAGAAGTGAGCGAGCGACGTTATGCGTTAGCTCACTTCCCGATCTATTGAGCCGACCTGTGACAGTTTCATTGTCACAGGTCGGCTAGAACTATGAGGTGAGTGATTTTCACTCGCCTCATAGTTCTCCTTTTAACTTGTCATGCTGCATTATATGTTTGGTTTTAGGCCATAGTTCTACTTTTAAAATGTTCAAGTCCCTGTTCCGTTATATGTAGGGGTATATTTATAAATGATTTGACTAAGGATGCACCAAAACCGTTTTTTCGGTATCCGGACCGATTATTTATTTATTACCAATACCGGAAGTCCCATTAAGAAAGCTGGGCGGCATGTAATGACTCGCTCCCTGGCTTCCCAATTAGCCAGGAAGCCGTCTCCATGCTCCATAAAGAAATGATGTGTTGTAGGGATGCACAGATATCGGATCCTCATTAAAAACAAACGCATTCTTCATGCAAACGTCAATAATCATCAAAGTATTGGGCTTTATGTTTGTTTGTCCCAAAATATAATGGCATATAAAGAATATGTATTATACAAATGAATCCAGCACCACATATACTCTACTCAAAGATTGTTATAATGATCCAACCCTCCGTGTTCTTCCATCTGTTCATGGAATGCAAACACGAAATCAAGATTCATGATATATTATACAGTGCTGACTTTAAAGGAGAACTATGAGGCGGGTGCTTTTCACTCACCTCATAGTTCTAGCCAACCTGTGACAATGAGACTGTCACAGGCTCAGTAGATCGAGAAGTGAGCGAACACATACCGGCGTTCACTCACTTCTCGATCCTGTCACGGCGCGCTGACTGGCGGAACGGACGGGGGAGGGGGCGGGTACAGCTGGCTCTGCCTCTAGATAGGCAGAGCCAGCTGTCACTCACGCAGCTGGGCGGATCCAGACATCGATGTCGGGATCCGCTCCGGCTGCTGCGTCTCAGTATACCGCGAGCTGTAGCTCCCTATATACTGAGCTTAGGGTGATGGGAGGACGCTAGTTTGTGTCCTCCCGTTACCCTAAGGAGAACTATGGGGAAAAACACTGACCCCATGGTTCTCCTTTTAAGTCATTGAAAGGATCCAGCAATATGATAAAATAGTATAGTATAGTATAGAGCAGTGTGGATGAGGGTCTCAATAGATGTATGTTACATTTGGTGGTAGTGTGGGGGGTAGAAATGGCAGGAAGAGGGAAGAGCGTGGAAAAAACAAAAAGATGTTGGGGCCGGAGATTATAGAGAAGGGGTAGCTGCTCATGTCAGGTAGGTTCCATCTTGCTCTGTTCCCGTTATTCCATCAAGCTAAGAAATTGGTGCCAGGAAAACCAGATGTCCCAGAATCCTTTTGTTTTTGGTGTCGGAGGGAGAATAGGGATGAAATTTGATTGCGACATCACCCATCGGCCTTGAGCAGTTGTGTGACGTGACAATATTAGTGTGGGCCCTTTACCGCCGGGACCCCTGTGGAGCCATTGCTTGTTTCAGGGACAAGGCTGTGAATTCGATTTTATCTTGCAGATCCCGGGTAAGGTGTCCTTGCTGAGAGCTGATAGCGGTATTGATTTTCAGATAAGCACCATCCTTGTACTATGGGCTTCTTCTGTTGATCCGACCTGTGTTTCTGTTGTTTTAGGGGATTGGTGACCTTAATTTGGCTTATCAGTGCTTCAAGCTCACTCTGGCCAATAACAACAATCACGCGGAGGCATATAATAACTTGGCCGTCCTGGAGATGCGCAGAAATCGCTTTGAGCAGGTTAGTAGCTTGCGGAGTTTGTAAGGCCGCTCAATACGACGCTTGTCATGTGCTCCGTGTGATTTTCTGTAGCTGCATTACCACTTGCTGTATTTATGTGTTGGGGGCCACTGTATATTGGCACACAGGAAAAGGCAAGTTCCTGAAGCCAGTCTTTGTCAGGGGTAGGCAACCCCAGAGAGGTGGAGATCTACTTTAAAAACATGGAAGAAACCAAAGATCACTGGGAGGGGGAAGCACATTTAAAAGGGACATTGCTAAATTAAAGTGGATGTGGTCAGTGATGATAGGGCAATGGCTGTCAATATGCGCCCCCCCCCCAAGTACTGCTTTTCTTACATTGGTGGTCAGTAATGAGCCCTAGTAGCATCCTCTCCTACATTGGTGGTCAGTGAGCCCCCAGTATATAGCCTTCATTATAGAAAGTACCCCCAGTGTCACCATTATATCTCTCTAATCCTGTGCCCCTAGTGCCACCAATATCTCTTCAGTGTCACCATCATACCCCCCCAGTGCCACCAATATATCTTCCCAGTGCCACCATTCAGTCTTCCTAATGCCACCAATATATCTCCCCCCACTGTCCCTATCATGTACCCCGTCAGAAGTGCTTTCCCCCTCAATTTGCAGCGTGGTGAAGGGAAGCTGCAGCAATTCATAGCTTCCTGTTCTGGCCTGCCGCTCCCCCTGCCAAACCATCTCTCCCATCCGTCCCAGGCACTTCTATATATGACTCGGGTGAACTTTCATAGAATATTTGGAATATTGTACGTGAATTCTGTGCAGTGATACGATGGCTTTATGTCCTTCCAGGCCCGAGCTCTTCTACAAACCTCCGCGGCCCTGGCCCCTCACATGTACGAGCCACATTTCAACTTTGCTTCTGTCTCGGACAACGTGAGTATCCGGATCAGTACCTGCCCTATCTGCTCAGTCAGTGTAAAGCTAATGTGGATGTTGCCCAATGGGGGGAAGGGCAGTTCACAAAGCGCACAATACTAGACCCAATTCTCCATCACACTTGGCATTGTGGGTACAATCCCTTTAAAGGGAACCTGTCATACCACATGGTTCCCGGCTGTGGCTTTAGTTGTGAACAACAAAATGTCCCATTTTGTCCAGAAACCCCGTCGCACCCAGCAGACGCCTCTCTTTCCAGCCTGATGTGTTTGTACCAGTAAACTCCACTTTCATCATCAGATTGCTGTTTACCTCTTTACATTTCAGGTGGGAGACCTCCAGAGCAGTTACGTGGCCGCGCAGAAGTCGGAAGTCGCGTTTCCTGATCACGTGGAGACCCAGCAGCTGATCGAGAAGCTGAGGCAGCATTTCGCCGTGATCTGAGCCATCCGGCGCACACCTCAGGTCATAGGCGCCGAGTAGCAGCGACAGGCAGAGTAGCGGAAAAGAATTACCGTTAAATTATAATTGCTGTTCCGGCGACTGACGGGACACTGATATACCCACAGAAGAGGTGTACAGGAGCGTTAACCCCTTCCTCTCTGGCTTCAAAGTTCCACAGCCTGCTACAGGGAATGCATGACGTAGGCTGAATCCTGGCATTTTCTTACTGCTGCTGCGTCGTAGCTCCGGGGCAGTGAAACCAAAGCAATATACAGGTGAAACTGGAATAATTAGAATATCGTGCAAAGTTCATTTATTTCACTAATGCAACTCAAAAGGTGAAACTAATATATGAGAGAGACTCATTACATGCAAAGCAAGATAGTTCAAGCCGTGATTTGCCATCATTGTGATGATTATGGCTTACAGCTCATGAAAACCCCAAGAAACCCAAATCCACAACCTCAAAAAAGTAGATTATTCCATGCAATCAATAAAACAAGGATTGTACATAGAACAATATCGGACCTGAAAAGTAGAAGCATGCATATGTACTCAGTACTTGCTTTGGGCCCCTTTTGCAGCACTTACTGCAATCATTTTGCACGATATTCTAATTATTCGAGTTTCACCTGTAATAATGTCCATTCCCTGAAGCTGGCCCGGGAGTTTGAGAATTCTAAATGACGTATCCTGCAATGGAGGAAAGCATTGAAATGACTGGACCCCCATCCCGTGTCAGTCTATGGGGAATCGGATATAAACGTACACGTGTCAGTTTACATGAGATTACCCCCATCAAAACAGGACACAGTTCCATTTGTTTTTCCAGACCTGGACCCGGAGTCGGGGGTAACAGACTAGACCCAGCTGCCCATAGACTAGCATTGAGGATCCGATCGGGTCCGCCTGAAAAACTGACCAATCAGACCACCTGAAAGGGGCCTAAGTGGACTCAAAGCCTCTGATAAAGTGATCTGTGATGAGGTTCTGTATATCTGGGAGGGTCAGAGGTCAGCGAGAGGATGTGCCAGAGTTATTGATTAGTAACAATTGACGGTTAATCTTACTAATCAATAATGCTGACACATCCTGTCACTGATCTCCCTTTTGATCCATTCAGGTAATGCTTATTACAGATCAGCTTGGTAGAGTCCATTATTGAGTCCACTTAAAGAAGAACTCGCTCTTGCAGTGCGATCCACCAGCGCTGACTGGAGGAACGGACGGGGGAGGGGGCGGGTACAGCTGGCTCTGCCTCCAGATAGGCAGAGCCAGCTGTCACTCACGCAGCTGGGCGGATCCCGGCACAATTGTCGGGATCCGCTTCAGCTGTGGCGTCTCAGTATACCGCGAGCTACAGCTCCCTATATACTGAGCCTAGGGTGACGGGAGGACGCTAGTTTGTGTCCTCCTGTTACCATAAGGATAACTATGTGGAAAAGCCTTAACCCCATAGTTCTCCTCCTTTTTAAGAATCCCAGCTTTTGGTTGGCAGTCGGCAGCACAGCCAGTCCCAGCACAGTGAGGAAGCGTGGCCCTATGAGAGCAGACGCCCGGGGTCACTTGCACCACCTTTGATGGCATCAGTCAGTTTTAGACCTTTCCATCTATTTTCTTTTAGAAAGCATTTAGATGTGGATTTGTGTTTTATGTAAATGACACTTAAATGTATATTTATAATTGAAGAATAAATTATTTTAGCATTTGCAGTCAGTGATTTGTCCTACATCTGTGAAATAAAGAAAAGGACACAATTATTTTCTAAAGCGGAGCGATGCTCAAAATTGGAAACGTGCCTATACTATAAAACTTATACATCATAGAATTTGCTTTATTTAAAGGCGAACTATGAGGTCAGGGCTTTTCCCCATAGTTCTCCTAAGGGCCACGGGAGGACACAAACTAGCGTCCTCCCGTCACCCAAAGCTCAGTATAAGCTGTAGCTCCCGGTATACTGAGACGCCGCAGCCGGGACGGATCCCGACGTTACTGTCTGGATCCACCCAGCTGCGTGACTGACAGCTGGCTCTGCCTATCTAGAGGCAGAGCCAGCTGTACCCGCCCCCTCCCCCGTCCGTTCCGCCAGTCAGCGCTGGAGGAGCGGGGGAATCCCTGCAGGGAGCCATGAGGGACAGTCACCTCTCTCTGTGGGCAGATGATCGAGAAGTGAGCGAGCGACGGTATGTGTTCGCTCATGTCACACGTCGGCTCAAACTATGAGGCTGAGTGCTTTTCACTCACCTCATAGTTCTAGCTGACCTGTGACAATGAGACTGTCACAGGTCGGCTCAGTAGATCGGGAGGTGAGCGAACACATACCGTCGCTCGCTCACTTCTCGATCCTGTCACGGCTCTCTGCGTGACAGGGGGGGGCTGGATTCCCCCCTCCCAGCTCCGATCCTCCAGCGCTGACTGGCAGAATGGACGGGGGAGGGGGCGGGGACAGCTGGCTCTGCCTCTAGATGGGCAGAGCCAGCTGTCACGCAGCTGGGCGGATCCCGGCACAATTGTCGGGATCCGCTTCATTATACCGCAAGCTACAGGTATACTGAGCCTAGGGTGACGGGAGGACGCTAGTTTGTGTGCTCCCGTTACCCTTTAACTTGGACAGCAGTGTCTGAAATGAAGATAAATCTGTGCTAACTGGGACACAGACGGGTAGTCGCTGCCAGCTCCAGGACCGTCGCAGAGAGAACATTGAACTGGGAAAACCTGCACTCGGCTAACTGGAGAGACTTCCAGGATTCCCAATATCCAGCCTCTTACCGGCCCGACCTCAACAGTGGAGCCCCGTGCTGACTGGAACACAGACGGGTGGTCACTGCCGACTCCAGGACAATTGTAGAGAGGACACTGAACTGGGAAAACCTGCACTCGGCTAACTGGAGAGACTTCCAGGATTTCCAGTATCCAGGCCCAATCTACCAGCGTCTGTTGAAACCAGAAAAATGTTCAATTCAAGCAAATGATATAGCAGAAAAGAAAGAAACATCCGTTCTTCTAGTACAGGCCCTTCAGCTGTGGTGGAACTACAAATCCCATGAGGCATTGCAAGATTCTCACAGACATGACTCCCAAAGAGAGATGCATCATGGGATTTGTAGTACAAACGTGAACCTTGGCAGATGTGACTGGCCTTCAGTTTTCTATGTTCCTAGTGTCCTCTTCTCCTGTAGGTGGCAGTATAACTAGGGATGCACCGATACTAGTATCGGTATTGGTGCTGATACAGAGTATTTGGGTGAGTACTCGTACTCGCCCAAATGCTCCGATGCCTAGCACGAGTACTTCCTGTATCAGGAAGCCGGGCAGCACATCATTACACGCTGCCCGGCTTCCTGATTGGCCAGGAAACGGCTCCATGCTCTCTCGTCACTTGTGATGAGAGAGCATGGAGCCGACTTCC